TCTAATTAACATAATTAATACTGATATCTCAAGTATTGATAATCACATTTGAATAAAACTTGGTACATAAATGCTCTAGGACAATAGACAGCCTGATTAATTTTGGGTTAAAATCTGTTTATATTAATTAATACTCTAATTAGCATAATAATTAATAATTTTTTGGTTCTAATCACATTTCAATGAAACTTGGTACATTGTGAAGACCTTATTAGTTTTACACTTAAATCTGTTCATATTAGTTACCTTATTTGCATAATTAGTTTTCTGCGTTTCCATCAATATCTCAAGTAATTTTTAATTAATTTTTAAAGTAACTCCAATACTCTCAGCACACGGGAGTTCTTTCTAAGCTTTCTTTGATTTTTTGGTTTTAATCACATTTCAATTAAACTTGGTACATAGAGTTTTTGTTACATTGCGCAGACCTCATTAGTTTTACAATCAAATCTGTTCATGTTAATTTTCTGATTTGCATAATTAGTTTTCAGCTAAGTAATTTCAAATTATTAGTCCCCGTTCGGACGAAGTCCGAAAACGGGGACTTATAATTCGGTCTCCGTGTGTCCGTGCGTCCGTCCGGAGTCGTATCTTAGAATCCCTTGGACCGATTCCGTTCATTCTTTGCATGTGCCTCGTACTTTATATGGGACATATGCACATGCAGTGGTTTAGCGATTCGATTCAAAATGGCTGACTGGCAGCCATCTTGTTTTTTGAAAATGTCGTATTTTGGACATGCTTTGTCAGTTTTCATTCAAATTTAGTACATAGATCATACATGTTAGGATACATGTCCCGACATTCCGTAAATACCTGAGTCTGTCCGTCCGACCGTCCGTCTGTCCGTGCGTCAGTCTATCCAACGTCATATTTCAGAATCCTGTGGACCGATTCCGTTCATTCTTTGCATGTGCCTAATACCTTATGTGGGACATATGCACATGCAGTGGTTTAGCGATTCAATTCAAAATGGCCGACTGGCAGCCATCTTGTTTTTTGAAAATGTTGTATTTTGAACATGCTTTGTCAGTTGTCATTCAAACTTAGTACATGGATTATACATGTTAGGATACATGTCCATGACGATTTATTTCGCAATTGTTCAATCTTGTTTTTGTTTTTTTATGCGGTATCTTGGACGTGCTCTGTCAGTTTTCATTCAAATTTGGCACATACATGTACTTTATACATGTTAGGATGCATGTCCATGACAATTTGTTTCAAAATCTGGTCAAGGATGGCCGATTGACAGCCATCTGACTTTTTGGCCTTACTACTATATTTCCACAATTTATGTACCATTTTCATTCGTATTTGGCACATACATCATACATATCAGTGTGTTTCATAATCAGATCAAAGATGGCTGAATAACGGCTGTTCTTATTTTGGCCATATTACTATGACACGAAACACGTGTTTTGATGTAAATAAACAATCTGTTGTATACGCCACTTGGAACTCAAGTTTCAAGGACACGCTCGCGACAACCCCTCCGCTTTAATATGACGAGCACAAGGAGAACTTAACGGGGACTGTGTCATTTTCAATGACTTGTATTTAATATGTCTCCAATACTCTCATCACATGGGAGTTCTTTCTAAGCTTTCTTTGATTTTAGTTGCCATCACGATGATATTTGTCTTGTTATAGGGAGAGCATCCAGAGGTGAAAGCCCTTCGCCGGAGCCTGGGAGCTTACGGCGGAGCCAGCGTCAAAAAACAACGGGATCCTGTGCTAGCAGCAGGTATGCATAGTTTGTGTGGAATGTTGTAAAAATGTAAACCACTTTAATTTAGCAGATGACTAATTTTGGTAGTCAAGCACAATTTTGTAGCAGTGAACACATTGGCTCTGCAAAAAAATGTCTCTGTGAGAGCAAAAATTGCAAGCAACATTTAATACTGTTATTTTATGTGATGACATATTGCAATTCAGTTCCTATCATAGTGAAAAACTCAATTTTTAATACTGACAGGGACTAAGTCATTCACAATGTCTTTTTAAAGTTAGGTAACTCAAGCAAGCATTCAGAATGGTGGCTATAATGTATATTGACAGGCTCTATAATATATCCTACATCTTTTATGACTCATGTTAACTTATCAGTTCCTTTTACTTTACTACAAACAGCAGTCGGCGAGGTTCAGGACCAGGAAAACGTACAATTGCTGGGACTCGCCGACAAGAAGCCGCTATGTCTAACAACGATAACCAAGATGGCACAAATGCCAACAATAGACCCAATGAAGAAAATACAACAGCAGGAGCAGCAGGTACGATTTTTTTTTTTCACAAATCATTAGCATTTCTTAAAGTGGATCATAGTTTTATCACTATTTACAATTTGTTTGCACTTGCACTATATAATAACCTAATGTTTAAGGAGATTATTTCTTAATGTACTCCAACTATAGTCATAACAATAGGACTTCAGAACTTTAAATGAAGATATTGTGCATACATTGTCAATTTCAGCAGCACTAAGTCTGCGGTGTGTTTACAATGATATAAAATTTGAAACAATGTTTATACATTAAATAATCAAGTTAGAAACAAAATACAGAGGTGTATAAATATTTGGGACAAAATTTCAATGAAGCTCTGTTGTAATGACAGTTATCGAGTCCAATAAACATGCTCACTTGAACTTGACAGTTTGACCATCCTGATTTTCTAAATGTTTCATTGTAATAGCTGCCACAAGTTCTGTCACTGGTGCTGCTGCTGCCATGGCAGCGATGGGAGAAAACGAGTCTGATGAATCAGAGATGGGAAGATTACAAGGTACTTTCTTTTCTCAGGTTTCTCTTTCTTGTTTGTCTACACATTGCTTAGGAAACACATTACTTCAATTTTGATAAATTGACTTTGCAGCTCTTCTTGAAGCTCGTGGGCTTCCCCCTCATCTATTTGGTGCTCTGGGACCACGCATGCACCAATTGCTGAATAGAAGTATGAGCAGTGGTACAAGTATGTATACTTTTTTCAGTAGTATTTGCTGATAGTTTGTCATATTTCAAGTATTATTCTTTGGGGCGGAATTACATCACAGAACAGTCTATGTGGCTGTGCTGTATATTTCTATGGGCGCTGTGAGAGCTGCTGTGGTACACCAGTCAAATGGTCGGTGGAAACAGTAACAGAAAACAAAACAAACTCAACTTAGAGGCAATCCTGAACAATCAAATTTATATATGTTGCACATGTGTAGGGGCAGGGCAGTCTTTTTATAAGGTTCATGCGAGTCTCAACTACTATCCCAAAGTACAGTTTTCTGAAACTTTTCAGCTTTTGTTTTCACCTCTGATGGTTGCCAGGCAGTGAAAATACCTGGATGTCCTCCGAAAATACCTCCTCAAATTTGCATCGTGTGAGCATAATTTTCTGAATTGGCATGTACAAAGGACAGACATCAATTTAGTATTTTGTTTTGCACCATGTAGGTACTAAAGCTCAGCAATTGTTAACTGGATTGCAGTCATCAGATGAAAGTCAACAATTACAAGCAGCTATTGAAATGTGTCAATTACTAGTGATGGGAAATGAAGAAACTCTTGGTGGATTTCCAGTTAAACAGGCTGTACCTGCACTTATTACACTCTTACAGATGGAAGAAAACTTTGATATGGTAAATTGAAATAAAGTAAACTGCACTATCATTTTTATCACCATGGAGTTGATACCAAAGTCAACGTTACTCTTTGAGTATTTTGTGAGTCTACACATTGGTCCACCTTTTGATTTAGGCCAATGCTGTAAAATAAATTCATAATTAATGTGCACATTAATGGAAAAAAAAAACATGGCATGTGATGTCAACATTACTCACTATTTTCTTGCTCAATGTTGGAATGTTGGAATTATGAATATGTTTCCAGTACCTTTGATAAGTAATCGCCTTGGCAATAATACAGATTTAACAAAAACTTTTAAAATTTACATTCTCAAATATTTAGAACTATTTATGCATTCAACTATTCAACCTATCATTTTAATTGTTTTGTAGATGAATAATGCTTGTAGAGCTCTTACATACATGATGGAAGCCTTGCCAAGATCATCAGCAGTAGTAGTAGAAGCTGTGCCTGTATTTTTAGAAAAGGTAAGTCATATGAACTCTGACATGCATTCAACTTTAATGTCATAATAGAATGCATTGTTCTGTGTCAATAAATGACATAGATTCCATAACATTATGTTTCAGAACTTTGTATTGATTGTTTTAAGAATATTTTTTGTGCGATGCATCGTCAGATTTTCGCTTGACTTTAATGCATACGATCTCAGTGAGGCAATGAACCGTGCTCTGAAAAAAACAAAATTGCACAGTTGATTGACATTGTGAACATAACCATAGGCACTGTTCATCTATTAAACAGTTGTACTATTTGAACTAGAGTTACTCTCCTGGGTTAAAATTGAGAAATCATCCACAGCTTTCCATGGCTAGTGGTGTGTATGGTGGCACACATTGTCACTCAATGTGTTTTGGGGGATATGACGCAGTGTTTCAGTACAGCAGATCTCACTGGATGGTATTTATACATAGGATTTTATTACAAGTATTTTGTAACCAAATCTTTTCATACTTGAAATTTCTGTCATTTGAAGACAAAATTGACCACTGGTAATTCTGTATTTTGAAAAACTGGATTTAGTGGAATAGTTTTTCGCTGATACAACCAGAGTATAAGTCTGTTATTTTCTGTTCAACAAGAATAATTTGGCTTGTGCATGTGATATTATATAATGTATGTTTGTTTCTAGTTACAAGTAATTCAATGCATGGATGTTGCAGAACAGTCTCTCACTGCACTAGAAATGTTATCTAGAAGACATAGTAAAGCTATTTTACAAGCTGTAAGTATAGCCTTCTATATTTATATATATTTCATTGCATTCAATACTATAATAAGCCAGTGTCAAGATGAATTTGTATGTACATTTCTCAATCACATTTTTTGAGGTGCTACTACAGAAGATCACCTTAAAGCAAATACGATATTGGAATTACACTGGAATTAATGTATTCGCATCCCAAAGATGCACATAATTAAATTAACAACATACAGCTTGATGTATTCACACACAAGAAATTGACATAAATAGATAACTAGGTACCGGTACTAGAAAGCATTTGTAATTATTTTTTCTTTGATATAATTTGTAGTTTTTATGTCATGTGTTGTTGATCAGTTATTACTGTAAATAGCGCAACACAATTAAATATATTATTATCTCCATGTGACACATAAATGTATGTCAAGTTTTGCACCATGTTTTCTTTTTATTAGCTCCGCTGTCGACTTTGTCGAGCGGAGCTTATCATATGAGTGATTGTCCGTCATCGTCGTCCGTGTCAATGTTTTACTTTTTCGACTTCTTCTTGAAAACTACAAGCCTGAATGCTTTGATACTTGGTGTATATGTACCTTGGGTAGACCTCTCTTAGGTTTGTTCATTTCATGTTGATATCTTCAATTCTCTAATTTTTGTGAATATTTTTGTCATTTTTGGTAAAAAGTGATATTTTTGACTTCTTGTTAAAAACCGCAAGTGCAATTACTTTGATATTACATATATAGGTACTACATGTGGACCTCTCTCAGATTTGTTAATTTTGTAATGATATCTTTAATTCTCTAATTTTGGTGAATATTTTTGTCATTTTTGGTAAAAAGTGATATTTTCGACTTGTTAAAAACCGCAAGTCCGATTGCTTTGATATTACATATATAGGTACTACACGTGGACCTTTCTCAGATTTGTTCATTTTGTGATGATATCTTCAATTCTCTAATTTTGGTGAATATTTTTGTAATTTTTGGTAAAAAGTGATATTTTCGACTTCTTGTTAAAAATCAATAGTTCAATTGCTTTGATATTACATATATAGATACTACATGTAGACCTTTCTCAGCTTTGTTCATTTTGTGATGATATCTTCAGTTCCCTTATTAATTTATTTTGGTGAATATTTTTGTAATTTTTGGTAAAAAGTGATATTTTCGACTTCTTGTTAAAAACTGTAAGTCCGATTGCTTTGATACTATTCATATTGTTCATTTTCTAATGATGTCTTCAGTTCTTTAATTGTAATGTGCATTGCTAACAGCGGAGCTATCTCAGCCGATAGGCTGCTTGTTATTCTCTTGACAATAATGTTTTCTTGGCATGATATCATTAAAAATGCTAGAACATAAACTGAAAAGATACAATTTTAAATTCTTTTTTGAAGTATTGCAATTAAAAAAAGATGCATTTTAAAATGCACTATCTGCGTAAATTAATATAGTTCTTACGATATACACTTATAGTTTTAAGACCATATGGTAAAAAAATAAAGAAGAGATGCTTTTATTGTTTTTTTTGTTTCAGAACATACTTGTAGGTTGATACAATAATAAACAATTATTAACTGCAACTCTGATGAAGTATTTGTCTCTCTCATGTGACAATTATTAGTCCTCATTCGGGGACTTATTTATTGACCTTTGTGCATCTTTGTGTCTGTGCGTGTGTCCAAACTTGTATCTTAGACATGCCTGGACCAATAACAAACTTAACACATAAATAAATAAACTTCACACATACATCATACATAGTATTATACATATGCACATCAATTTGTTTCACATTCTGATTCAAGATGGCCGAATGGTGTCCATTTTTGTGATAAAAAAATCATCAAAATCAAGCATTTTCGGATGGATTTATTTCAAACCTGGTACATACATAAGACCTTGATGCACATCATTTTATTTTTCAGATCGGATTCAAAATGGCTGACTGGCGGCCATTTTGTTTTAATGAATGCGCATCTAGAGCCATATCTCTTATATGCTTTGACTGATTATGTTCACATTTTATATATTCTCGTTATACATCATGTTATAGATATATAGTTGTATTCAAAATAACCATCTGGTGGCCATTTTGTTTTAATTAATGCTGTTCCAGAGCAATATTTCTCAATATGGACAAGTACTCATTTGACGATCAGATACCAGATGTCAATCATGTTATTGTTAAAAATTCATTAAAATCAAGCATCATCTTCTGGACCCATGCTTCTGACATGTTTATGTTCCAACAATATTACTATAAAAAAAACTTTATATTTTATATTTGATAACTAACTGGGACTGTGCCATGTTCAATAAGATGCAGCTGAGGTTAAACAAATGTTCATATGCCCTTTAGTTGCAGTTAATAATTAAGTGATGACAATTATATTACTTTAACTTCTGTATTTTTTGGCAGTGCAATGTCATGTTGAAATAATGATTTTATAGTAATAAAATGAACTCATTTTTTGACCACATTTACATTCAAAGGGACATTAAGGTAGATCACATCTGTTTATACATGTATCACAAGTGTTTTAAGACATTTTGTGAAAAGGCTAGCACAACATGTGTACTATAATCATGAGTAAATTGCCTCTAAAACAGTATTGGACTGTGGATCATTTTCAAGTTCTTTTTTTTGTGTGATGAGTAAAATCATTCATCCTGGGTGGAATCATTATTTAGAAATAATTTATTGTTGTGTGGGCAGTAGAATTTCAGTTTTACATGCAATGCTAGATTTTTACATTTGTCTGCCTAAATAGGTGATTTTCCGTACAATTGCGAGATCTCGCGAGATGCATGAAAGACGCACGTCGAACTAGAATTTCTTTATCTTCGACAGAGGAATATTGCTTCCGAATACCCTTACTTAATCGAAATTGCCTATCATCAAATGTGGACAGCACATTATTAAACATGGAAATGTCCCCGAAATACTTTCGCGTTTGTCGAATCCCACGCGACTACGATGCTATGACCTTTGTTTGTCCTGTTTTTACGTTCGATTTCACGCATAACACGTGATTCTCGCAGTGAACGGAAAATGGTCTATTAGAATAACACCTCTAATAAGTGTTACCCGGTAATTTACCATAGTGTAATCAGTATGTGTTGATTTTCAAAATACACAACTGGGTAAATGAGAAACTGCAGGGAATTGAAATATTATAGTTACAATATGTGGTATAAGTTGATATCCTTTTTTCAGGGTGGTGTGTCTGCATGTTTGCTGTATTTGGATTTCTTCTCTATCACTGCACAACGAGCTGCATTGACAGTAGCTGCCAACTGCTGTCAAAATATCAACTTAGATGAGTTCCACTTTGTAGCTGACTCATTACCTTTGCTAAGTGGACGACTACAACACCAGGTTAGACACACTTCCATTAATCAGTTTGTAATTACTATAGTTGAATATTTTCATATTATAATACTGTGTTATAGCACGATCTCGTTCATCAATAGCTATCATGTGCTGTCCAGTAATCAGACGTTAACTGGGCAGTGGTTGGAAACAATGCATAAACAAGTTTGCTTTGAATCATCAATATATCAAGCCTTTGCTCACATGTCTAAGAATCGTTTGAACAGCAATATCATTATGATTCGTTCATGTTAAAAAATCCTGCAAAATTACCCTTGTGTTTTTGCATACTAACCACAAGAATGTTGAAGTATTATAATTAAAATAAAAATCTCTGCACTGCTCATTGTTTCATACATCCCAGATCTTGTTATCATACATAACATATATACATGTATGCGTGGTGATTTCAGGACAAGAAGTCAGTTGAGAGTTGCTGCTTATGTTTTGCCAGACTTGTTGATAACTATCAGAATGATGCCAAGTTATTGCAAGAAATTGCTTCTCCAGCTTTACTCACCAACTTACAGCAATTAGTAAGTATATCTGATAATTACATCAAACCATCAAACAGTACAAAAAAAACTTGATCACTATTGTTAGCATTCAATTTTAAAAATGAACCATCCCCTATAACCTTTTTGATCTACTAGTAAATCATATTTCCTAAGTCTTCTTAATGCCAATGTATTGAGTAACACCCACTCTTTCCTGTTAATCATTTTCTATGTTCATTAATCTATTAGATCTATGGCTTGCTAGTCAATTCTCTGTCCATTTTTTGAAGGATTCCCTTCAGGTTTTGTAGGGTACAGATTTGAACAAATGCAACATTGTTCTCATTTATACTGAAAAGAATTTATACAATATACCAATACCTACTTGTTTGGATATATAAGTGTGACTGCTAATTACTAGAATTTTACTATTTTTTGTTTTCTATACAGCTTTTGATTTCTCCGCCTGTCATAAATACTGGTACTTTTATTATGGTAATCAGAATGCTATCATTGATGTGTTCAAACTGCCCTCACCTTGCAGTACATTTACTCAAACAAAGTAAGTTTATAAAGTCCTGGTTATGCTGAATAATTCTGAAGTTGATTCACTCTATTATGTTTATGTTACTCCAAATTTGTCCTGAAGTAAACAAAACCTATACTGATTGTATAAACATAGTTTCAATGAATTTTTATTGAAATTGAAACTGATCCTAACATTGTACTATTGTTCCATTATTTCTTTTTAGAATTCTATTCCTAAACTTTTTGTTAACAACAGTTTTCTTAAACATTATATGCCAAATAATTGTGCTCATTGTAAAAAAGACTTGACTAGAATTTTGTTTCCTCAAATCTGGACTGTAACGTGTTGTTACCATGTTTATTGACATGTTGATTTATTTATTAGATATCGCAGATGCTGTTGGTTATTTACTTATGGGGTCATCAGATCAAGCAAGTCAAGAAATAGAGGTAATCTTAATTTGTTTTCTATTCTCTTTGAAGCATTGTGTTATATAATTAAATTATTCTTATTACAAATGATAATGAAATAATGATATCCTGTTTTTACCAACAGCTTGTCCCAAGGACTCCACAAGAACTCTATGAAATCACATCTTTAATAGGGTACGAGCCACTGTTTTCTTATATTTACAACTTTAAACATTATATCACATAATTTTGCTACAATTTGAATACCATTTTTGCTTTATAAGAAGCACATGTGCCATTGCAATGTCTGTCATGTGTTAAAATATGTCATACTTGAATGATTCGTTATACAATTGTGTTATTTTGGTCTATGTACACTTTTATTGGAGATGCACTTCTAGATGTAAATAATTTCAATATTATACTTTGTAGTGAGCTGATGCCAAAATTACCAAATGATGGGATATTTGCTGTAGATGCAATGCTATGTAAAAGTAATGTTCAGAATACAGATGCAGCTATCTGGCAGTGGAGAGATGATAGGGGATTGTGGCATCCATACACCAGAATTGATAACAGAATAGTAGAGGTGAGCATCCATACCACCACCCAATTTACTGTCTGCACATGTTTCAGATGAGTATACAACATAAATGGATATAAACGTAATAATGTGCATATTTCCTATCTTAATACAGGCATCCCATCTGGCAGGTGAAGATGAAGTTTGTTTATCAACTCTAGGACGTGCTTACACTATAGATTTCAATGCCATGCAACAAATTAATGAAGATACTGGCACAGCAAGACCAGTACAAAGGAGAGCTAATCCAGTCTCTGCCGGATCAGCAACAGGTAGTTTGTCTATTATTCTTGTCATATTGCTATTAGTTTGAATAATCTATTGTGCTATATCTGATGTGTGTACATTGCCTTCTTAGTCAGGTTATTTTTGGTCTGTATCTGTGTTACATTGGTTGTATACATAGGTCTTGTATAATATTGAGTCACAACATTATGATATGAGCTGTGATATCCATGATGTCCTATAGTTTAAGGCGCAGCAATATTTTGCAGTATTTGATCCAAACTTCTAAAAATATTTCTAGTTTTAGATATATTTTGAGTCAAAAAAATTATTTGTGCATTTCATACCAATAATAAGTATGCATCCCAAAGTATACACACTGTGTTTCTTGTTACTGTCACAGGTCTCAGTTTCATTTTTTTGGGGGAAATTTTCTTGTGGAGACATGATGAATAGGTTATTCAAGGGTATTACCAAAGAGGACATGAGGTATTACTCAAAAGAATATTGTTAATTTTTTTCTCACTACATGTTGGATAAAATACTGCTTCTCGCAAATACTACAGGTTATCCATGCTAGGAGTCACAAATAACCTCTGAATATTTAATTCAGCAGAACAAAAGAATACAAGTCAGGGTTTGCGCTAGTGTCTCAGCAAGACGAGTCCCACTTACAAAATTTTAAGAAATTTAAATTTGACACTGGATAAATTTATTACAGATTGGACGCCAGTTTGCCTGAAAAACTGGGTTCCTCTTCAATAATTGGAGTCCGGGAAGCAAAATATGGGGTTATTGCAATCCCTGTTTGAAGTGAATTACTAAAAGTGTTCAGCAGCATCTTGAATTGTTTTTTCTTTTGCAGGTTTGACGCCTGTGGAGACAGAAGATGCACGTGCAGTATTATTAAAGGAAGATATTGATTTAGCATCGTCATTTATTAAGGCATTATTTGCAGTACTGTATGAAGTGTACAGTTCATCTGTAAGTTGGTAGTTTTTTTTAGCTCCGCTGTCGACTTTGTCGAGTGGAGTTTATCATATGAGCGATTGTCCGTCGTCAGTGACAACTTTTTACTTTTTTGACTTCTTCTTGAAAACTACAAATCTGATTTCTCTTTGATACTTGGTGTATATGTACATATGCATAGTCCTCACTCAGATTTGTTCATTTCATGATTCTTCAATTTACTAATTTTGTTGAATATTTTGGTAAAAAGTGATATTTTCAACTTCTTGTTGAAAACCCCAAGTCAGATTGCTTTGATATTGTACATATAGGTACCTCATGTGAACTGATCCCAAATTTGTTTATTTTGTGATGATATTTTCAATTCTCTAATTAAAATATGCATTGCTAACGGTAACAGCAGAGCTATCTCAGCCGAGAGGCTGCTTGTTTTATGCCAAAGCTGGCATAAAACTTGGATTGGGATCAGCCCTCACTAATCAGCTGTGGTCAGAGACTTGTGATCACCACCACTAGGTTGCTCTAACCTCTACCTATTGTTTGTCAAGCTTCTTCTGTTTTATTCATTTTGACTAATTGGTCCATTCAATTCTGTTTCTAATTGGTCAGTTGTCGACTCATTTGATTTGAAATATCACATACAGTCATAAGTACTGCATGTTGGAACTCAGACTTCTGTAAATATAACTTTATGTGCTATATTTCTTATAGGCTGGGCCAGCAGTTAGACATAAGTGTTTGAGAGCTATTTTGAGAATGATTTATTTCTCAAGTCCTGAGCTACTCAAAAATGTATTAAAAAGTCATGCAGTTTCAAGGTGAGCAAAGTTGTTAAACTTAGAAATGATTTGATACATATTCAGTCCCCATCTTAAAGCGGGAGGGTTGTCACATGCGCACATGCGAGAATTGAGTCCCAAGCGACAATAACAACACACACTAAAAGCGCAAAGGCTCTTGGGTAGACGCTCCTTTGTAAACAATGACGCGCTATGGCGGTCTGATGCATGCGCAGGTGAAAACTCCCCTGCTTTACAGCATATCTCAGAAGTATTGGGGCAGCCAATTTGCAAACTCGCTAATGAATTGGCTAACTGCTTGGGTTTTGACTAAACAGATGGCTTTCGAATCTTGCTGGCGCCGTCTTGTGGTCACGCCCACTCTGGGCAAATCTATATAACAGCAGGGGACGGTCGTCATACTTTAGGAGCTAATCAGCCACATGGATAACGAATTCACTTTCAAATATACCAGGGAAAGTATTCTATGTGTAATGAGCT